CTTCTCTTCTGCATGTGTGTTCTCTTTGCTGCGAGTCGTTGTTCTGTGGCCTGTGGTGTTTCTTCTTTTCTTCTCTTCTGCATGTGTGTTCTCTTTGCTGCGAGTCGTTGTTCTGTGGCCTGTGGTGTTTCTTCTTTTCTTCTCTTCTGCATGTGTGTTCTCTTTGCTACGAGTCGTTGTTCTGTGGCCTGTGGCGTTTTCTTCTTTTCTTCTCTTCTTCATGTGTGTTCTCACTGCTGCGAGTCGTTTTCTGTGTCCTGTGGAGTTTCTTCTTTCCGTTTTTGCTTCATGTGTGTTCTCTTTGCTGCGAGTCGTTTTTCCGTGTCCAGTGGCATTTCTTCTTTCCGTTTTTGCTTCATGTGTGTTCTCTTTGCTGCGAGTCGTTTTTCCGTGTCCTGTGGAGTTTCTTCTTTCCGTTTTTGCCTCATGTGTGTTCTCTCTGCTGCGAGTCGGATGGCAGTAGCCCCTGGTGTCTCGTTTGATCTATATTCTTGCATTTTTGCCCTCTTCCAATCCCGGCGTGTCTCAGCAGCTTCTGGTGTTGACTCCGCTATTTTTCTCTTCATGCAAGTAGCGCTTTGTTTTCGTCTTTGTTCCACACTCTTGGACTTTGTCCGAGGCATAGTTGACACTGTATTTCTCTCTTCAACAGCAGAAAGAACTAATGCAGTTCCCACAAAAGACTGGAAGCAAATTAAAACAACCTTGTATAATTCTGATCCTTTCCCCAACATCTTACTTTTCCTTAATGACATGCTCAAAGCCATTCTTCACAGTTCTGAAGTTTTAAGGATCTTTAATTCAATTATTTGTGATAACAAAAATGCCAATTAACTCCAATTTCCTGTTATCAATCATATTTCAAAACAACAACAGCTTTGTGGAGTAATTTAATGTCAAATCTGGGTCATTGGTACCCTGGGTGAATTTTGTCACATGCCATCACCATTAATTTTCCAGCTTTAATCATGTTTGAAGGGAACATGATAAAACATTATTCTTAAGTACCGGTAACTTAAAAATGCATCAACCCTTACAGGGATCTCCCCAGAAATTTAGGACAGAATGGAGGAGGGTGCGAAATATCGGTAAATTTGACCAAAGAACCCTGGAAAAGGGTGTAAAAACACTAGTTTTGAAAATTAACAGGGTGGAGCTGAGATAAGGACTGGGTGGAGGAGCTCCACTGCTCCATTGTTAGGGAGGTCCCTGCCTTAATTGAATATAGTTAGTTCTGTTAAGAGGTCTATCTACATGTCAACTGACAAAGAAAGGAAATGCTAGACTAAGTGTAAAACTCCATAGATACTACCATCAAGTAATGTATTAAGGGTGAATCATAGAGATAATCCCAAGGTAATATTTGGTATCAATGTCAATGACTTCTTATACTAGGAGGTAGCAATACAGAAGGTTACGAATTATACACTTTACCATCTGCACTACTACTCTGTGAAATGCTGGAGCCTGTCTGAAATATCAACACAAATTCTGAAAATAGACTCTGTGTACAAAAGAACAACCTCTGACTAGAGTAGAGACTCACTGTATTAGACAGCCTGACAGCTTGTGGGCGTCAAGCTGTGAAATGTTCCTGGGAAAAAGTTATCGACACTGCACCGGTCCCTGCCTGTGTCTGGTTTTCCCCCAAGGTCAGAGCCCCTGCCCGTGTCTGCTTTCCCCAAGGTCACTCAGAATGGTGGAAACATACACTCTAGACAGCGCCTATGGCATGTTAAGATATTGTGTGCATATTTAGACTGCTTACGCCTATGAAATGTCCATTCTATTGTTGTTCAGAGCAAAGAGGTTTACAAATCAGATACATGTAGCAAAATGAATCACTTGATACAAATGTAAACAAGTCGTCAGCTCATTTGTAAAGCAGAAACTTGGGATTATTTCTACAGTTCACCAACAAAACATACCCATTTCGTTTAAACCTCTAAGGAGGGGGGCTTACCTGCTATGATGACGAGTGGTGGACGCTCCTGGACAGACAGGAACGTTGCGAGGAAGACTGCATCAGGCATTTCTCGATCGACTGCTTATTCAGTAGGATGAGTCAGCCTCAAACTTGCACAGAAAATGGAGCCGCGCTCCCAAGCACCGTCGTTTAAATAAACCTTTTTGATGAGCAGGTTAGCATAATATCACAAAAAGATATTCTTTTGTCCGTGCTCTCGCGGTGGCGTAACGCGATGAAATGGTTGCTACAGTGTGCCTTTGTTTTCACTCCGACTTCTTCCCCAGCTGTTTCCTATCATCTGCCGGCTGAGGCTGAGAAGAGTGACCTGAAGGTGACCTTAAGGTCATTCCTGGTCTAAAGCAAGGACTTATGTTTCAAAGCTCCTGCAGGCAGTTCTAGAATTCCCATATTAATTATGGAAATTCATTACTATTTTGCATAATTGTTATCTAATTATGTAAATCATCACAGAAGCTACCTACATACCAAAAATCACGGCGATCCGTTAATCGGTTCTTGAGTTATCCTCAACCGAAGATTTTTTTAAACAACCGACCCTACAGTTCCAGAACAACCTGCTAGGGGGCCCAAACTCATGTCAGTTCTTCCCTAGCCCAAGAGCTTTCTACCACCCAAAATTTGTGACCCTAGCATGTCCAGATCAGGAGATATCAAAACCGGAAGTTCTGCTGCAGTACCTAGGAAAGCCGCCAGGGGGCTCAGAATCTAATCACTTCTAGGTCTCATGAAGACCTACCCACCTACCAAGTTTCATTCCAATCCATTTACCGCTTCTTGAGTTATCTTGCTAAACCACACACACACACACAAACACACCCACACACACACAGACAAACGCTACTGAAAACATAACCTTCTTGGCGAAGGTAAAAAGAGATATGATAAAAGGCAGATATTGAGTAATTATATAGTGGAAGTACAGTAACTGTAAATAAAACTCCCGTTGCAAAACGACAATTGTGTGCTTGGGTTGAGTTCATGGCATTTACATGATGCAATGTGCTAATAGCCGTCATTGGCTAATAGCCACGCTAGTCGGTGACCTGATTGGTCCCCGTTAGAAACCTACATGTACTGGATGTCGTATGTACATAGTGTAGCCGGGGGGGGGGGGTCTAGGGATGGTGCTAGGCTGATAAACTGAGAGGTCAATAGATGCACACAGTGAGGCATGCGATGGATTAATGAGGCAGTATGGATCAGGATATCTACTCCTGTCTTGAACCGTAATTATAGAGGAACACAAACTCTTTTGGGAACGCTCTATCTACTCCTAGCCTGTCTTGAACCGTAATTATGGAGGAACACAAACTCTTTTGGGAACGCATTCTTTCTATTATTAAGTAAAAGCTAATTGCAAAGAACAGTTGACGCAATTATACCCGCTACGAGGAGACTAACAACAACAGACTAACAACAGGACGGTCCCCTAGAAACTCTTTTTTAATTTTTTTTTCAAATCTTTATTGATAACAAAATGACACAATATATACAAAATATACACGTAAAATCAAACATGCAAAACAATCGCACAATGCTCTAAACAGTTCCAGGTGTCAAAATAACATCTCGGTTAAGTAGGAATACCATAAGTTGTGTTTTATCATATCCTTATCTTTAAGTTCAATCCGGGATTTATAAATAACAAATTTGGCCAGAGTAATCGCAAGAGTGATATTTGTCTCGATGACCTCTAAATTGTGATCCACTCCATAAAATATTGACAATTCGTTTATCTTAACTCTATAGCTAGTGCCATGGTAATTTAATCTATTTTCAACTTTTTCCCAGTAGTTACCTAGCCTTTTGCAATTTACAAAAACATATGTATGTAGGTTTCCTGAACATTACATAATGTACACATTGGACTATATACTTCACCCAGTTGATTCCTAATTTGTCATTTGCCCAGTTTCACTTTACAGGGAAGGATATCATGCAAAAGCTTGAAATTTAATTCTTTCAGTTTATTTTCTTTAATATTTAGAAACTCTTAGACCCTTAGAAACTCCAGTGAGCTAACCCTACCTGTCAGTCGTGCAATATATACATGTATATAGTGTACAGAAGGCACAATTTAGCATTTGGCAGCAACGCCGGCGCTTTAAGCATTATACCAGTTTTAATTGATTGATTGGTTGATAATTGCATAAATAATAACCATGTACACATTGCTCTATTGTACGTTTAGGACAGCATTGTAGGTACTATTCCCTGTAACTGTTATCTTTTCTTTATTTCACAACAATTGATATCACACGCCTGTACGTTTGGGACGGTATCGTAAAAACTGTTTCCTGTATCCATTGGGATGTCTAATATTTTGCACTGGAAACGCATCCATTACAGCTTCATCTTTGATGTGCAACGTTATCCTGAACCGCTCAGATTTGACATGAGGTTTAATTTGACTGGTGACATGTTGGAGGGTGGTGGCAGAAGGTAACCAAAACGTCGACTGAATACAACACTTGGTTGTGTAAAACAAATCTCTTCATTCAGTGACTTACTAACTTATTGAAACTATTCTCGTATTTTGTTGAATCTCGTCTTATAATCCCCAGATGGCAGGATACGAGGAGAAGCCCGTTGACGTTTTAAATGACGTAAGCGTTTCTGTCGCAAACGTCATCTGCGGCATGACATTCGGGAAGTGCTATAACTACGAGGATGAAACGTTTCGGGAGCTCTTAGATGCCATATCAAATGTCAGTGCTGAACTGGGATCTGGACAGATCATCAGCGTTTTCCCTCTCTTACGGTTTGTTCCTGGAAGTGAGTTACATTAATTTAATATGTTAGATTAAGCGAGATCACATCCTTGTATTTTTCTTGTCCTTGAAATTTTCTATGAAAGCGAGGGTAGGAAAGAACCTATCGCCGACCGAGATCACTGGATTAGGTAGCAACGTGTCATTTTTTTGCTTCTCGGGCTGGACGAAACAGACATGACAACAACATTTTTTTTTGCTGTTTGAAAGTGTGAGAGGGAAAAAAATCAGTTTTTCTTCTGTTCTCTTTTCACAGTAAACAGAACCTGTAAAGATGTGCTGAAGCAGAATTCCAAGATTCAGGAAGTATTGTTGGATGAGATAGCCCGCCATCGCGAGAACCTGGATCGCGAGAACCCGCGAGACTTCCTCGACGCCTGCCTGTTGGAGCTGGAACTGCAGGAAAAGGTTGACGGTCTTACAGAGGAGAACGTCATGTACCTCGCAAACGACCTCTTCATTGCAGGGACTGAAACAACCACCACCACACTGCTGTGGAGTCTGCTCTTCATGACTTTGAACCCCGACATCCAAAGCAAGGTACTTGTCATTGCACATTTCTTGTGACTTCTAGAAAGACGATTTTTCTGAAGCTTACATTAGGCCACAGCAAGTAAATTTTATGGATGACATCCGCGCGCGCATTACTTTTTGCCTGATTTTGGAAAAAAAAAACAAATTTTGTTGCCTTCGGACAGTGGTCAACATGCTGAAAATGGGCAAAGGTGTCTGTTGCCATGCTGGAAGGTGGATAGCAGATAACTAGGAAGACAGGAGACAAGAAAAGGCTCTGATTTAATGTTTTGTTTCTTACTTTGATGCAGTGATATGTGATGCTGGCTGTTTATATGTGACGTTCCTACTGAATAAAAACCATTTGTACAATAATTGAGTCAAAATTTTACATTGTAGGAACCTTGTTTTTTTCGGACCGCCTTGTGTTTTTCGCCCGCTCGCATTAGATTTGGAGTCTGCGGAGGATGCCATCCATAAAATTTACTTGCTGTAGCCTTAATGCAAACTTCGCTTTACTAGGTGCAGCAGGAGCTTGATGCCGTTGTTGGTGAGGGTCTTCCCGCCCTGTCCCACCGTTCCCAGCTGCCCTACGTGAGCGCCTGTCTGCTAGAGGTCATGAGGATCCGGACGCTCGGACCTCTGTCTGTTCCTCACGCTACAACTGAGGCCGTTAATGTGCAGGGATACCATATCCCAAAGGGGACCCAGGTACTTCATATTTTCCCCAACGTCATTCTCTGTTGATTCAAACCTGGCCATTCAATGGAATCTACAAGCCGACGAAATATTGTATTAGCCACCTTTCCCGTCAGTTCCCTGTGTGACCATTCTTCGGAATGGCAGGATTAACGGTATTTGATATGATTTAACAAATTTTCCATTGCACATTGTATTTCATTTCTGACTAATGTTGAACGTCTCTATTTGCCAAAGGTACTACCGAACCTGTACTCCCTCCACATGGACCCCGCCTACTGGCCTGATCCGGAACGGTTTGACCCCGGAAGGTTTCTGGACGCGGAAGGAAACGTCATCAACAAACCCGAGTCCTTCATGCCTTTCGGTGGAGGTAATTAGTATTTCATCGATAAGATATATTGTATCTTCTCCTTTTCAGTTCATACCATTGGCATGGATGAAATATATATTTTTTTCTCTCGTGTTTTGGGCTCTACATCCTCTTTGTTCTACTCTTGTTAAATGGATGAAAATTCTTAATTTCTTACTTTTGAGGCCAAAGATGTGCTGGAGAGCACCAAATGACAAAAGGATGATTTGGGACAGACCATTGTGGAAAAAAGGGGGAGTGGATTGAAATATGCCGTTTTTGCTAAAAAATATCTGCCTTTTAGGCTTAGATGATTACATACTTTATGACAAATTGAAACTGTTCTCCAACTCAAGAATTTGACTCACCGGAATTTTCGACTGAATCACTCAGTCTTCTTCAGCTATCTGACCCAACTGCCGTTGACACGTGATTTTTCCCACGTGTGACGTCGGCAGAGGGTCAAAGGTTGTCTGAAGTCGATATCGCCCCCGGCCCGGTTGAGTGAAGGTTGAAGTGCCCTGATGTAAAAGGCCTCTTTGATGCCTCTCTTGAAGTAATCCTGCTCAAGAGAGCTGAAGAAGACTGAGTGACTCAGTCGAAAATTCCGGTGAGTCAAATTCTTGAGTTGGAGAACAGTTTCAATTTGTCATAATGTAATTCACAAACTCAGATGAACTTCCATGCTGAAATGATTACATACTATTAGCTATATAGTTTCTTTCGACGGTTGTCTCGTCTAACAACTCTTTATTCTTTATTTCCAGGCCGACGTGTGTGTCTCGGTGAGCAGCTGGCCAGGATGGAGCTTTTCCTGTTCTTCTCCACCCTGCTGCAGTTTTTCACCTTCAGGACGCCAGAGGGCGCTAATCCTCCAACCACTGACGGCATATTTGGTCCGGCGTTAAAGCCGCACCCCTTTCAGCTCTGTGCGATCTCGCGTTAGTTTGTTGGCTAGATTTGTGAGGAGTAACGAGACTTATCTGACTTGTTTACATATATATTATCAAGAAAACAAGAGTTCCACGACCTCATACCTGGAAAATAATGTTAACCCTTCTGGTTCGAATTACAAGTATACAATTTGAACCGCTGATTTTGCAAATAAGAGCTTCATTTGCATGGATGATATCAGTTAATAGTATTCTCCACCAAATAATAATAGCCTAATCTTAACAAAAAAGGCTATTTTAGCACTATGAATAAATAATGTTTATTGATGTTCACACTCTCTTAACTTCTAAATGCAGCAAGTATTAAAATTCCCAGCAGTTACAACTATGAAATTGTAACAACTTCCAATAAATTATGCAAATTAGGTTTTTATGTATATAATCTATTATTCTCCTGTTTTGCCCTGTTCGTCCTTCCAGATCAGGAACTTTACTAAATCTACTGGTGCCACCGTCTGTACTGTTTTCGGCGGGGACAATGTTTCCAAGAATCCCTTCAACAGAGACACCCCTTCTTCTATCCAATCCTTCACCACCAAGGATTTTTGGTCGTCTCCTGTGATCGCTCCTGTGACCAACTTTCCTTATGCCTGTGTATCTCTCCTGCCCTTAAGTTATCTGGGTCTCTAAATAGCAAGGAGTCTGCTGACGCCCTTATTTTCCCCGCCGATACCTTTTCAGGGCTAGGTGATACCAACATTTTTTGACTTTGCTTTTAGAAACCCAAACTACTTCTTTAAGAAAATGTTTTTTAAACGCTTCGAAAGGGTCGAAAACGTAACGGAATTCGAAGTTTTTGATCTTCGGAGTTATCCAGGGCTCATTCTGGGGAAAGCGAAAAAAAGGTGAAAAGGTGTCACTTTTCTTTTCACAACTACTTAAAGCTAAACCAGTGACTTCTAAAACCTTATGTTCACAAATTCATGGACATCACTCACAGAACAAAACCAGACTTCTGCTCAAAACGTTAACGTTTTTTTTTCATTTTCACTCATGGTTCGTGCCGATCCAGTCTGCATCTGTAAGGTTCAACTTCCAGAAAAAATCCAGCCACTTAGAATAAGGTAAAGTGCTTTTCAAGTTCACTAGAAACAAACCATTTCAACCTTGCATTCCATGTTTAACCGTTAAACATGGAATGCAAACATTAAGACACCGTTACTTTTTCTTATTTTGCGGACAATCCGTCACCCAATGTCCCTTCATATCACATGCGTTACATCATCCGGCTGGGGTTGTCCTCGCCTCCAAACCCTGTTTTAGGGTCGGCACATATTGCCCCTAGGGTTGCTAGGCTCCGTGCGGTACCAGTGGCGTGTATTGCCAGAGCTTTTTGGCTTTTCAGGAAACAGGCCTTGTTTACTTGTTTGACAACCGGCGACCCCAGCATATCCAAGATGACGTCCTTGAAGAACGGCTTTTCAGCCAGCGGCCTGAGCTGTAGAAGGATCGCGGCATATTCGTCCGCTTTCGCGTGATTTCTGTGCTTCGCTGTGACCGACAAGGTTTCCAGTAACCCAATAGCTCTCCTGTGGTCAAACGCCGCCGCCGGGTGGCTGGCTAGCTGGACCAGCTCCTCCTTCACCCCGTCAACCGTGCTTCCTCTCATTTTTTCCAGTTCTTGTTTCATGTTGTTGAAGTCTCCCCTCGATGCCTTAAACTCCTGTAACATAACCCAAAACTGCCTAGTTACAATGGGTACCTTCTCCCAAGAGACTCTATATAGCTCACAGGATACCACACAAATCAGTGGCGGTAGCAAGAACAACTCCTTTCAATCGTCTTGTCAACTCTCTGCCTGTTCGCTTGTCATCGCCAGATTACACAAACACGTGAATAGCGGCACCCGACTGTCTGCCACCCGAGTGCCGACACTTGCAATGTGCATCAGAAACCTCAAGTAACAAAGGTCGACGAAACACTCAAGCACAAAGGCACGAAGCCATGCGTACTCGGCGCCCGATTATCTGCCGTCAAGTGTTGGCACTACAAATTGTTAGCCCCCTGGAAGCCTTTCACACTACTACCACACTACCCACCCGAGCGCGCCTCCACCGCGAGGGCAACCCGCTGCACGATCTATGGGCTCGAAGCCGAAGGAACACCGCTCGGGAAACCTCCCCTGCTATTTTAAAACACGGCTAAAACCACCCTCGAAAACTTAAGCATAAACGAAGCCCTACAAAAAAATTAATCAAATCTGGCTCAGACATGACACCCACGCCTTCATATGCAAATGACCCATGTGCGAGACTCTAGCCAACATTCTTACAGACAACCCACATAAAATCTGTTGGAAAAGAAAAGGCAAACTACAAAAACGATGCAACAACAACTAACATTTAACTTGTTGTGTACGTAGACGCTCGTGTGTGCCGGGCATCGGGTCACGAAAAACCGTGTGTGTTGTCAAAATATGAATAAACGACACTACATCCATACGTTACAACGCCTAGTAGTCACATTAAACTGGCTTAAAATCCACGGGGCTCTATATAAAACTGACGCCAGCCATCGAATTGGCTTGTTTTGAACGAAGAGCTTTAACATTTAAAAGCAAAACTTTTAAATTTGATACTGTCTTACCCCCACCAAAAGATCTGCTTGGAGATTATTGTCCAAGTACCTCTGTAAACTCTGCGAAGTCTTGTCTGTTCTATAGAGTGCCTGGTACGTTACAAAGCCTAATAGTCACATTGAACTGGCTTAAAATCCAGGAGCTCTATACAAAACTGACGCCAGTCTTCGAATTGGCTTGTTTTGAACGCAGAGCTCAAAGAGGTGAAAGCAAAACTCAACCGTTACGACAACCAGCAAATTGACTTGTTTTGTCGCGGATCTCTATATACTTTATAACCGACGGAGCTAGGGTTGTCCGAGCACCTCTGTGAACTCTGCTAGTTGTCACATTGAACTGGCTTAAAATCAACGCAGCTCTATAAAAAACTGAGCCTATGACGCCAGCCATCGAATTGGCTTTTTTTTAACGCAGAGCTCAAAGATTAAAAAGCAAAACCCAACACGGTGACAACCAGCGAATTGACTTATTTTGTCGCGGAGCTCTGCAGAGCTCCTCCATGGAGGTTGCTCGTTCAGCCCCTATTGGAGTGATCGCGAGTGTCAAAGGTGATTTTCGAGCGAGTGTCAAAGGCGAGTTCCGACGGTTGCCGAAATCACCGGAAATAGTTTCGAGCGAGTGCCGAAGGCACCTGACGCTGATTGGTCTGACGGCGCACCTCGCGTTGTGGGTGTCCTTTTCAGCAAGTAACCTTATCCTACCGGTCCTGGTTCAATATCAGAACCCACCGTTTAAACATAGACGACTTCTGATAACAGAAAAGAAAATGATTTTTTTTGTCAAAACCTCAGCGCTTTGCTAACATTGACGCGGCCTGTAGGCTTTAAACGAATGTTATTTTTACCTCCATGAAAAATGGAGGTATTGTTTTTGGCGTATCTGTCTGTGTGTCTGTCTGTCTGTGTGTCTGTCTGTGTTTCCGCAACTTTGTAGTCAGCATAACTTCAGAACGCCTTTATGGATTGTGATGATATTTGGTATGATGGTAAGTCTTGGAAAGACAAAGGTCAAGGTCAAGTATGGGCCTCCTGGTGGATGACCTTGGTACTGCAGCAGAACTTCCGGTTTTTGTATCTTTTGTCCTGAACAAGCTATGGTCTTGACTTTTTGGTGACAGATAGCTTATCCTGTCAGGAATAAGTGGCGCAAGTTTGGTCCCCCTAGCAGCTTGTTCTGGAACTGCAGGTTAGTTTCTGGTAAAAACTTTTAAAGCCAATAAGTCCAGATTGGAACAACGTATTTTCATCATTTTTGGTGTGTAGGTACCTGAGAGACAGTTGTACATGGTTAAATGCAAATTATGCAAATTAGGGCTTAATTTGCATAATTAATAATGAAATTCTATAATTACAGTTTTTCATATAATGGTACTGCTATACATGTAATCTATTTAATCTGTGGCAGGCGGAACATCAACAGATACCAATTATGCAAATGATGACCTAATATGCATAATTAATGTGAAAATTCTGAGAATCCTTATTGCTGAATGATGGGAATTTTATACCTCGTAACATGTGTAAGTTACTTAAAGGTTTGCATCGCTATGCATGTATTATGTTAATGTAGATGTTATTTGCATAATTAATGAGGACAAAGCAAGTCCATATTTCATGGAGGTATGAGATCTCGGTACTCTTGTTTGTAAAAAGAAGTAAACCTCCCTTAGTATGAAATACAGACAAGACATTTTACCTATTTACAAACTGTGTGTTACCTTGCACAATATTATTAATGATTACATAAAATATTTTATCGTATAATATATCCACTGGATTGCTTAAAGTATAATATGCTGTGACGGACTAGCATGCAACTTCCTGCCAGTAGCTAAGGTCTACTAACGCACCTGTCACACATTCAGACCCCCTCCCCCCGACAATCAACCAACTTTGGCTAAAGTTCGACAGCAGATTCAGGCCACGCCTACGTTTTTAAACGAATCAAAATTTGATTTCCATTTGAGACAAGTTTGGCCGTCTACTGCGGACCTACTCCTGAACACCAGCCAAACCTGGCCGAACTTCCCATCCACACTCGAAAAATGTTTTAAATATCCCTGAACATTTGGCTGGTGGAGCCGGATAGTAGCTGACTTCGAAAGGAACACCCGACCTTTCTCCCGACCTGCATGTTCTTCTAAATATGCATGGTTGGGGAAAGTTCGGCAGTGTTTCAGACGCCATCTTCTGAACCTATGTGACAGGAGCTTGTACCGGTGTACTGTACGACACCTAGCGGTTATAATAGAAAGGGCACCTTTTTTATCCAAAATTGCACATGCTACGTTGAACGTTAATTAGCAACAGTGATTAGGTCGCGCGTTTAACTGTAAACAACATAGTTTAAAGCAAACAAAGATGTCTCAGTATACAAAACAACAAAAGGAGAGAACAAGAACACAAGAGATCGATGATAAATATTTCTTAAGTGTCTGTGTTGTCTTTAAATGACATTCTTTGTGGTAGTTCTAAGTAGTGTTAACCCCATCTTGACCGGGATTTCTATGTCGTTGCAACGTAATATGACGTCATTAATGCGATTGTATTGGCCAAACCGTCTATATATGTTATTCCCTGAAAACTAAATAGTATACATATCTTTACCAAAAGTGTTTATGACAGAATATTAGGGTGTAGTGAGACTTATGTTGCCAATAGTAACACCGGTGACGTCATGAAATGACAATCCGTCAGTCTTCTTTGAAGGCTACCAAAAGGGCTGTTGGCATC